AGCTATAGATATCGTAACATCCACTACTACACAAAAGGAAGATATTATTATATACGATAGCATACTTTATAGAATCCAAGACCGTATTATCTGAACATATACAATTTGGCAACAGCAAGATGTTTTTAATAACCGAGAATTACAATGAACAATGTTATGATTTTGTAATCATTACTGGATGTTTTAATGGACGTATGTTTAACTTTTATATGTTCGTATATATCATATATACTAAGAGTAAACAGTTAATGTTTTTGTTGTGTATCAATCAGAGAACGAATGTATACCAAATACATTAAGTACTGATGGATCGATTTTTAACGACAAAACATTCACACATCTCTATGACAACTAAGCTCATTTTGTAACTGTTTTATAGATGTCACACGAGATATTTTAAAGAACAATGTATTTTTATCCTCTCTTTTGTTGGTAGTAGATTGGAATAAAACACTGCTCATCGTGTGACCGCGTTAATTAGCCAATTTTATTTAGCATTAGTGAATTAGTTTAACCTGTTAGGTATAAGTATGATGTGCAAATAATTAGTTTATTTAGTATTAGTGAATTAATTTAACCAATCAGGTATAAGTTTGATGTGCAAATAATTAGTTTATTTAGTATTAGTGAATTAGTTTAACCAATCAGGTATAAGTTTGATGTGCAAATAATTAGTTTATTTAGTATTAGAGAATTAGTTTAACCTGTTAGGTATAAGTTTGATGTGCAAATAATTAGTTTATTTAGTATTAGTGAATTAGTTTAACCAATCAGGTATAAGTTTGATGTGCAAATAATTAGTTTATTTAGTATTAGAGAATTAGTTTAACCTGTTAGGTATAAGTTTGATGTGCAAATAATTAGTTTATTTAGTATTAGTGAATTAGTTTAACCTGTTAGGTATAAGTTTGATGTGCAAATAATTAGTTTATTTAATATTGGTGAAGAAGTTTAACCTATTAGGTATAAGTTTGATGTGCAAATAATTGCTAAATCTATTAATTATATATCTAAATACATCGTTTTATCTTTACTTTCTTGCTCAAGATAAGCCTGTGTTTAAAAGGAATTAGAATTTTTATACATTTGTGCTACATCCAGTTTTATCTTGTTGAAATGACAAAAGTGCAAAACAGAGCGTGAAAATGTTTTCCAGATCATGAGGCTCTTTTTTTTTACTGGAAGCACCTTTTAGTTGTTTCTGTTAGGTGTGTTTTTTATTATTAGAATAGTTTTACATTACAAATGCAAGAAGTGTTTTGTAGTGTTCAATATCATTAAGGTTACTACGTTGAAGGACTATATTTATTTTATGGTATAGTCCACATTTTATAAAGATCACTAGAGAGAGAAAAGAAGAAAATAACTTCGTAGTAATAAGAGCGCCTGAGCGAAGATGTGTGACTTGTCCTTATAACAAGTTATTACCCAAGACAATGAAGTGAAAGTAACTCGATAACTGCGTAACTTTCGGAAATTCGCAAGAATGTTACCGAATGATTAAATGAGTTTATTGTTTCATGTTTGACATGGCGTCTGTTTAGCCTGTAAGTCAATGAGTCGAGTACTAAGAGTATAGTGAAAAAGTTATATTATCCACTAAATTATTTTCACTTGTTACTAGGTGAAAGATCATTTATCTCAACAAAGCCAGAAATGTCTAGCTGAGAGAAAGAGAAAATTACAAAATCCACTTCAAGTATTTTTTTTTTGTGTGCGTAAAATCCTTCGTTTATTTAGCATGTAATGTTCCATATATCTAATTTTTGAAAGAAGTGAGCTGAAGCTGTTTGGTAGGATGTACACAATTTTAACTTACTTCCGCATCATTTAATGCTCAAATCGGGTGTCAGGTGGCGGTGATTGTAACTCCAAATCTAAAACTGACTTTATTGTGAAACGGGAAACACAAATTATGTTTTACTGCGTGAATTAATCACTTTACAAAATCAATAAAAAAAAAGGCTTAAAAATAACTCTACTTGCCTTCCACGCCGAATGTGTATAGGAATAAATAATAAAATCTGAGACAAACTAATGCAATAAATACCAGCGTACAAATTAAGAGCGAACGTAAAGGCTAATTTTCCCGATCTAAGGACGACCCATGTGAACAAATACTAGACTGACGTAAGTCAGCAATCTTTACTCATCCTCAGCTCTACTCAAAGCACAAAAACCCTACGATTCAACAACGATATCGTAAGTTCTCAGTAAGTAGTGAACTGAACTTGATGTACTTTTGTTCCTTCTTTTTATTGACTTGTTCATGTATATTGAACCTCCTGGATCATTCACTCCATGAAATGACAAGCTAATTGTGTGAATTCTCTTCATCAACGTACACAAAGTATTTCCGTTAATGTATAGCGCGTTCCTTTATAAAAGTACATAACAACTAAGGAACGAATGATACATACCCTTTCACTCATCCACGGTATGTTATCTATCCTTGAAATAAAATAAAACTTTATAGATCTGTTTAAAAACACATTTTTTTAAATCTAAGGCTATACCCTCAATGTTGTAACGTGTATGGTAGTATTATCAGACATTTCTTAGAGTGAATTGTAAGATATGAGAGTCAGCAGCTCTATTTTGGCTTAAAAATGGTTAGCTACACAATGGGCTCTCTTCATTATGTACACAGTAAGGAATCGAACGCTGGGTTTAAGCATCCCAAGTCTTAAGCTTACCACTGAGCTACCGATGGAATTATCCGAGGTTAGTCTTCATTAAGCTAAAAGTAAATAAAATAAAACTTTATAGTCGTTATTTTTCTCATCTAAATATGTGTAAAACAAAGGAGTAATAGTTCAACCTAACCTCACTGCTTATTAATTAAGTTTATTTTTTGTACTCGAATAATACTTCATCACTTATATAGCTTTATTATCTATAAAGAAATTCACGAAAGGATACACAAGACATTGCATTAGTGAATTAAATAATTTCCAATTAGAAAATTAGTTTAAGTTGTGTAAGCAATTTTGTGGTCAATTTACTCGAGAATATTTAGAGATTTTAAACAGAATCTGTAACATAGAAATAAGAAAAATCAAAGTGAATATGTAGATTACTATATGCTCTATTAAACAAAATGGAACTTCAATAATAAAAAGTAAATTATATATCACGACGAGTGAGGCATATCTCTTTATTTCAAGGAAATTGTTAACAGAAATTTTTACTTGAACAATAATGTAAAATACATTCACGTGTTTAATCTTTTTGAGTGGTAGAAGAGAGATTTAGAAATAAGTATATTATTCACTTTGTATTAGTACACTTTATAGAGTGAGATTCTTTAATTAAACTTTATCTGTTGTCATTTTTGAACGTATCTTCTACATTAACACTTGGAATAATATATACTTCAAGTTGTGCATATTTAAAAGCAATTTTCATTGCAACTAATTTGGTAAACAACGGATAAAACAAAAGCTATCACAAAATCTGATACTTCTTCCATTGAGCGAGGAAAAAAATAGAACATTATTATTTTGTCTGGATTAATTTGTTAGTAAAGGTTTGACTTTATATTTTGTGTTGTAATCGCGAATATGACTTATTGAACATCGGATGGAGCTCTTTCGATGTCCTACTACAAGACATTGTGCTTTCTGAATGTTTTGGGGTAACTGCAGTAAAGTATTTTTTCGTCCCTAAGATAATTTCAGATATGCTATGTGTCACTCAGTATAAAATTGAAATCCCAATAAAATACAGAAAACCATTTACCTACAGGCTATTTTCAAAGGATTGTACTTAAATTTTATAACACATTTGCCTTAGAAATACGTAAAATTTCAAAGGTTTATCTTCTAGTTTATCTTCCTAAACCTCGATTTAATATGTTATACTGTAGTGGAATGAAAGTCATGAAGTTACGTCATTTTTCAATATGTTATACGATAGTGAAATGAAAGTCATGCAGTTACGTCATTTTTTAATACGTCATACAGTAGTGAAATTAAAGACATGTAGTTACGTCATTTTTTTAATGTTATACTGTAGTGGAATAAAAATCATGCAGTTACCTCATTTTTTTATATGTTATTCGGAAGTGAAATGAAAGTCATGCAGTTACGTCATTTTAAGTTCGAACTTTAGGCTTAATTAGGAAGACATTTAACCATAGATTATTTTAATTATGTGACTTTACTGAACGAAAAATTGCTGTCTATTATGCTTATCCCAATAGTTAAAAAGATATTTTATTATTTTTAGCCTCAAACTAATGTATAAAAGCTCCATTTTCAACTACCAAAATCATATATAAACATTCTTAGCTTCGACCTACGAATATATATATATATATTTACAGACAATTGTTTAACTGCTCTTTTATATACTTTTATCTTAAGATTGCGATGGTTTCTGATGTGCTTAGCCCAAGAAATCAATGTTTCTAGGTCATATCTGAATTTCAAATTAGCTTCAGAACTCCACTTGTTTTTATTCTTTGTAATAAGGGCTTTAGAAGCATTATAATGAGCTCAGTTTTAGCCTTAGTAACTGCTGTAATGGCCATGATAAAACGTAGTAAAATGTTTGATCTTAGAGATTTCACAACTAACAGAAATGTGATTTTGGAAAATGCTGAATTTGACACTCCGTGTTCATGCATTGAGAAATCTGTTTGAATCACATATGCGTTAGAAACTGGGTTTCAATACCTGTGGTGGACAGAGCATGGATAGCCCATTTTGTAGTTTTGTACTTATATGCAAACAAACAAACACATGTGCATTTCAGTGAAAATATAAGTTCAGTATCACCAATAAACTTCAGACAATGCTATCTACAAAATGCAAACCGTACTTTTGTGTACGAGGCTCAAAACAGTCTAGATACAGAATGTTGTAATTTATGTATGTATTTTTTTATAACTAAATTATTAAGCTATTGTAATTACATATTCCTTGATAACTTAATTCAACAAGGGTCATCCAGTTTACGCATCTCTCGAATTTTATTGGAAACTATTATACATACATTATGAATGATAAAATTCAAAGCATACATATGGAGGCCCACAGTGTTACTAAAGAGGTAGAAAACAGAGATGGAGCTTAAATAAGTCATTTCGAGCTTGGGTCACTTTTACCGCCAAGGATCTACCAATCAGTAGTTGAAGGTGTCGGAGAGCGTTATGCAATTTGCAGCCGACACAAAACACTTGCTACGTAGAAAAGGCACAGTCTGACAGCTTATGGCAAAACAATCGAGGAGAAGTGAAATAAAATATTCACACGTCCGTAGAAATTATGTGTCCAAGCCGAAAAGACTGTAGAGAACCCTGGAAAGAAAAACAAAACTGAGAAGTTATCTAATTGGAACGTGCATGTCATTATAATTTCAATGCAGTTTAGAACATAATTATAAAATAATAAGAAAAATAAACTCTCGTGTTTTCCATAACAAGTTATGTAATTGCACGATTATGGTAGCACAAGTTGAAAAATTCAGATAATATTCCAAATATGTATATATATATATATACTTTATCTAACATGAGGCAGATGTTCACGTGTAACTGAAATAGAGCTTATCTTTATGCATAAGTTTTACGCTTTACAACCCCATTCATGTTATTTATTTTTTCTATCATAGCTTTTTGTTTTGAAACTTGGTTGAAAATTTAATATAAAAATGCCTTTTAAAACTATCATCCGAATGTTTACCGGGCTACAGTTTGACATTAAGAAGAAAACTTCCTATTTATGAATTACGTAATATTTTTACGTAATTAAAAATAAGACTTAAACAAAATATTACTGGGATAGTCAAAAATTAACAAGTTTCACTAACTTTAAATACATAGACTCTTTACTTGACGTAAGTTAATGTTCCATAATCTAACTTTAATTGTAAAATATGGCAAATGTCTATTGCTTAGAACTTTACACAGATGGTGATTCATTTGTAATGTTAACACGTAGATGGAACATGTTGAAACATACAGAAATTACTGGAATATGGCTTCTAATCGTATCCATAATTCCCCCTCAACAATGTCACATTTCGTATATTGTACACCTGAAGTGCTCACACTCCATTATCTGATTCATCAAAGTATCGTCCATTATTGTTG